GCAAGCTGATTCAGACTCCGCGCAACAATTGATACCTTTTAGAAAAGACAAGAACCAAAAAAAAACCCCAAACAATCACTAAAAAAAATAACAATGTCTGCGCGTCTCTCCTGTCTGCAGCAGAACACCTTGGAGCAATGCGGTTTCTTGGCAATGTCTCTGTGGGGTCATAACCTCTGCTCTCGTGTTTGCCAGTAGACTGCTGTCTATATAAGTTTACTCATTCTTGTTGATCCAAGTCTATCCTGGATTTGTGGTTTACATTTGCAGAAATGTGTTGCTGAGCTAGTCTGGACAGGTTCCCTTTACTGCTCCATCAGTGCTCTACTACTGCTCCATCACTACTTCAGTGCTGCTCCAGCACTGCTCCTTCAATACTCCATTACTGCTCCAGTTCTGCTCCATCACTACTCCAGTACTGCTCCAGCACTGCTCCTTCAGGACTCCATCACTGCTCCTTCACCAATCCATTATTACTCCATCACTACTCCAGTACTGCACCATCACTGCTCTTTCAGTACTCCATCACTACTCCAGTACTGCTCCTCCACTACTCTATCACTGCTCCAGCACTGCTGCATCACTGCTTGAGTACTGCTCCTTCATTGCTCCTTCACTACTCCAGTTACTGCACCATCACTGCTCTTTTAGTACTCCATCACTACTCCAGTACTGCTTCTTCACACCTCTATCACTGCTCCAGCACTGCTGCATCACTGCTCCTAATACTGCCCCCTAGTGGCACTTTCATGTGTGCGCCCGGCTGGCGATGACTGCAGCATCTCCTCCGCCCAGATCGCGGTGCAGGAAACAGCGAACCGCCCGTGAGCCTTATGCGTGCCGGGCTTGTAGCGGGTGAGAGCATCTTGTCCTTCGGGCAGCAAAAACCTTAGGGGGCCAGCGCTGGCAGTGGTGTACAAACCCAGTCTGCGACGCTGGTTTCGCCTCAGGAAGGCCCTGGCTGAGGTTATCTCATGCACGGGGGACATCTCTCACATCCTGTCCAGAGTGAGTCAGCTAAGCCACTCAAGGAGCGCGCAAGTCATCGCCTACAGTGAGCGAGTGGATAGGAAAATGCGGGGTAGGTCAGAAATGCCCCCCCTGCTGTCCCAGGCACACCTGGTATAGATACATCATGGGTAGCAACTCCGTTTTCATGATTTTGGAACAGGAGGCCGACTCACTGAACAGGCAGTAAAGTGCACAGCCCAAGTCACTGGTGCTTCTGGGCTCAAGTTCTACAAGTGTGACAGCACAGCTGATCCCGCAGATCCTGTGAAAGTTCACTACAGTCATTTTATGCTGTATTGGTGCATGTCTCCCTGTGAGCAGTTACTCTCCTGTGCCATGGTTTTCCCTGATTCGAAGCATGTTGTGCCGCAGCTCTCCAGGGAATTGGCACGCTTGTACCGGGATCTCGCTAACGGGCTCCAGTCTTTCCCTGGTGCGATCGCCGTACGTTCGGAAAAAGGAGGAATCGGGTATCGAGAGACAAAGGCAGTGCACAGAGCACGCAGCTTGGTTTGAGTGCCTCTCACTGCTAACGTGCGGCTTTGAAGTGGGGCTCGATCAGGCCTCGTCTGGGCAACATGCAGAAAAGAGTCCTCTGTTTTCCATCTCTTTCCCTCTCCCCCCCCTCTCCCCTCCTCTCCTGTTCAGACGGAGCGTTCTGCTTGTCCGCTGGGACACATGCTAAGAGACTCCTACACATCGGCACCTACGCCAGCCGACCCCTCCTCTCTCCATCCCTCCACCCCCACAGTCACTATGTCAACAAGCCCAGAATAACAATGTGCTCTTCTTTTAGTTCTTAAAGACACAGGCGCCCTCCACGCCGGGGATGCATTCATGTGGCATTTAAAGGCTGCAATGCTGGAAACCCGGTGACCGAGTCGAGAGCAGAGGGAATTCTGGGACGTGGGAGTGCGTGATAATGATGTAAAACTCAGGTGAGGGGGGGGGGGGTGGTATTACATTAGCAAGGAGGAAGTATGGATGTATTTCTTTTTACTGCATGGGTGGTAAATGTATCAGACATCAGCAGCCTGAAAGTTCCCAATCGGCCTTATTTGTTGACTCGTCAACTTCAACGAAACAGAGACTGACGTTTCCACTGTGGGTAGATGCTGGGCAAACTGCCCATCAGATTCACCTACTGTGGACTTTTTTTTTCGGTCTCTTTCTTTTTCGGGGGCAGCTCCTCTGAGATCAGTGCCAGGCACTGCTGAGATTTCTCACTCCATCCAGCCAGCCTCAGTAGTCCTTCCCGATTTCCTTGGCTCTTCTGCCCTCATGGACCTTTTCCGCTTTTTCTCTGAACCGCAGGTGGGTTACTTCCCTGGGATCAGGGCCGGGGGAGCTCCACACACCTGCTGCCCCACAATATACCGAGACCCATGTGCCAGAGGCCCTGGGCAGTTACCAGGTGCCGCCCAACTGTACCCAGTGTCTGTGTGGCATTTCATGTCCTCATTGACCCCGCGATGCCAACACTTGTGACACTGGAGTTCTGTTCATGGTGCTGAAGCTTTTCATCTGAGAGTGTTTAAGGTGAGTGGATTGAATCCTGGGCTCTGTTCCCCAGGCTCCCTTGCAGGAGAGCCTTTTGAAAATGCTGGAAGAAGTCACAACACGACAGGGTTTGCATGCTAAGCGTTCGTCAGTCTCTGATCCCTAACGCAGACGTTAAGTTCTCAAGCTGCGTGTCACGTTTTTTTTTCCTTTGATATCCCCGTTGTCTGACTCTGCCTTTGCTGTTTTGCTTAAAACAATAAACCGATTATAGGACTCCGCTGGGCTGGGGTGGTTGCGTGGCTCTGTCGGCTCCCAGGGGGATAATTACTTGAGCTACAGAGGGTGATTCAGGATTTTAAGGCGTATTCAGAGCTGACACAGCCTCTGCTGTGGAGCCGATGAATCGCAGACAACATCTTGCAACAGTAAGCATGCTTCCAGTAAATGCTGTAATTCAGTGCTGTCAGGAACGCACTGTAGGAGTTCAAAATGCAATACGGTGTATTTTAAGAAGCGCCGCGATGAGCGGTAACCTCAGTGCAGCCGGGAGGTGGAGAGTGTGGCTGCACTGCCCTCTGCTGTTTCTCTTCAGATGCACTCTTGCAAGTCCTGAACACTGCACACGCTCACATCCTCCAGATCGATGTCATGCAGAATCACAGATTTCCCAAGCTCTGGGCTTCTACTCCCGACGTTTCCGCAGTGTCTACCATGGAGGCTCAGGCGAGAGGCCGACATACCCAAAGGAGCAGGGAGACCAATTCTGGAATTTGGGACTTTGCGCAATCCTGGAAAACAGACCGATTCTGGCTGATCTGCATGAGAACCAGCTGGTGTTTTTTTTGGTTCCCCCCTGGAAAGGGACAGGTGCACAGGTCCAGGGGCTGACACACGGGGGCTCCTGGTTCAAACCCCAGCTCTGCCGCGGAGTCCCCTTGCGCTGTGTCCCTCAGACGAGATGTAACACTGAGACCCTAAAGCCAGTGACTCCGCAGGATTAATTTGCCGAGACCTCGTGCGCCACTGGACCTCTGGAAGTGACTCAGAATGAAAGGATCTGCTCCACTACTGTCCGACGAGCATTATTCTGAGAACTGAAGAGTTAAGGAAACTACAAGTGAATTAGATTCTGGTAACAATTTCCTTAACTGCACATTCTTCTCTCTTGACAGAGCTGCACTGGAGACCGTCAGTCTTTTATAAAATAAAGCCCTAGCGCCCAAGCACCCAAGCCAGCTGTTCTTATGCAGTCTTACCTATAACAGTGCGTTCTCAAGCAAAGGCATCGAGGACACCGTGCATGAGCCGAAGCACTGGGGGGTGTGCTGAGCCCAAAATAAACGCAGACTTGCAGGGGGCAAAAACTCCATTCATGTATGCAACTATTTGTATTAATGGAGAGACTGAAAGACTGGCTTATATCGCCGGTTAACTGCATTACTGCTGCATGACATTTGTGCAAGGGAAGATCAGCCTCCTGCGGGGAAATGTGTTGAAAGTGAGATTTATGAACCTGGACAGACTCAATTCAATTCAATTCAAGGATTCAATTCAAGGACTCTCTCTCTGCCTCTGGGAGCCCTGGTCTGGCTCTGCATGGGCGCTCTCTGTACGGCCCCCCGAAATAGACGCCTGGTTTCACAGCAGACGAGCCGCGCATCGGCTTGGAGAGACGCGGCCGGGCTATAAATAACCGGTCCGGCCTTTCAGCGCTCCGTCCTTCTTTTCCACGCCTACGCAGGCTCTCTGTGGCTTCCTGCTCGCTGGCGCGATTCTCCAGTCCGCCGCCGCCGAGCGCTGGCTGCCCCGCGTGGCTCCGCAGGCGGCGAGGCTGGGGGTGGGGGCAGGGGTCAGAGGTCACCGTCCTGCTGGCTTCCTGGAATATCCCTTCCCCGGTGTTTTTTTTTTTTCCATCCTGACTTGGAGAGTTTGGACCTGTTTTACTGAGTCAGAGCGAGGGCAGAGGGTAAACCGGGGGGGGGGGGTTGGGTGGAATATGTTATTCCTGCTCAGAATAAACCTTTTCTGGAAGCTCCAGGCAGAGGACAAATGTTCTGCTTAGTCACAGTCGAGCAGTTGAGCAGCCCCAGGATGGTGAAGCCAGCCTCTGCATCACCCTGCAGCTCCCAGCTGGCAGCCCCACTGGAGCCCAGCAGTGTGAGCCTGGCCAGTACCTGGTGTGTTTACTCTTCCCAGCCTCACAAACTTGATCTAAAATCTAAGAGACACTTCTCAGTCACCCAAAGCTGTAACATAATAATAATAACAATAATAATTCAGGTGGGGAGCTGCGTCAGCTGCAAAGGAACAAGTAATAGGTTTATTCCATGCTGAAAAAAAGAAGAAAGAGAACACAACGTTTTGGCCGTGGAGCCTTCTTCAGGTGTCATAATAATAATAATAATAATAATAATAATAATAATAACAATAATAATAATAATTTTTATTATTATTATTATTATTATTATTATGATTATACAGCTGGCTGACCTTGACCCTCACACCTGCTGTTTTCATTGCCATGAGAGTTCTTAAATTAACTGGACCGGTCATTGAACTAACTACAATTTCACATGTAAGTTTAGAATAGCATGCTACCTAAGAAACGAAATACTGTGCTTAAAAGACAGCCTCCAGCATGCTTAAGAGCTGAAAACAAACAGCTCAAATTGATTATCCTTGATTAAGAAAGGTTTCAACTGTGCAACAGAGTTGGGTCTGGAACTGAACTAGCAGGCGTTGCGAACAACAGTGAAACTAGGCCCTAAGACACAGGCAGGAAATAATTCGTTTTCAGACTGCAAACAGGAGGCGCGTCTTTACACAAAGGGTGGCGGGAGTCTGGAACAAGACGCCCAGCCCTGTTGCTAAAGTTGCCCACTATGAGTCCCTTCAAGGAACAGGTGAGGAAAATGCTTAAATGTATAACCTAGGAGAAAATAAATGACCAACACGGGCTGAAAGGCCCCCCTCTCATTTCTACCCTTTCTTAGGTCTTATAAACCAAAGGCTATTCCACTGAGCGACTCGACTAACGAACACGAGTCAGCGCACGTGCTGGGGAAGCTGCTGATGGGCACAGTCTGAACAGGTGAGTCTTGAGGAAGAGTTTGAGCTTACAGAGAAATAACTCTGTAGAATTAAAATGTTACAATTTGCTTCCAGGCTCTAGTAATGACGGTAGTAGTTCAGGTGAGGAGCTGCGTCAGCATGCGTAGGCTGCAAAGGAACAAGTAAAGGTTTATTCCATGCTGAAAAAAGAAGCTCACACCTGAAGAAGGCTCCACGGCCGAAACGTTGTGTTCTCTTTCTTCTTTTTTTTTCCAGCATGGAATAAACCTATTACTTGTTCCTCTAGTAATGATGTGCACACTTGAAATAATTCAGGAAACTAGGAGCCTGTTTTTCTGTTTGGCAGTATTAAAAGAATTTGTGTGACTTTCCGACAGGATGGAGTCCAGTACTTTACTAAAATAACAATGCGCAACATCTCGGAAGTGTCTTACTGACTTGTGTCATACTAAGTGACAGATCAAAGCAAGCACAGTGTGTTATATATCAACACTTCTAAAATAAAAGGCCTTTCACAACCTTTCCCATATTTAATTTAGTGAAATATATGTTATAATGGGAGGTGAAACTGATTCATATATAAAGTGAGGTCGTTTTGGATTTAAAGTGGCTATACTGTATAAATTCCAGGAATTATTAAAACGTTCGCCCTCTATTCATCTATTTTTCAACACTATTAGAGTAACTGGATAGGACAGCGTTCTCTCTCCTTATCAGTTCAGTTTCAGTTTACACAGGTTTTCTGCTCTGGGGAATATGTACACACACCACACAAGAGGCAGGCAGAAGGCAGGTTCAGTAAACATGTGCCTCACGGAGATTATGGACGTGCAATGCTTTAAAGTTCCGTCAGGGGGCAGTATAGTACCACTGTTGGCGCTGGAGGTGGCGAGAGAAAGGCGATTTGTGTTGGAAGGGAATTTAGCCCCCCCCCAGGCCTCCCGCCCGTTGCTTGATGGGATAGGCCCCGCCTCTAGAAAAAGGACGGATATGAACGTATCCTGAAGATCAATGATCACGGGTTTCAGTGCAAAAAACAAAACAAAGAGATTTTCAACTATAAGCTTCAGAGCAAGCCCCTCTTTTCCAAAACAAAACCCCCTTGCGTTGTCATCAAATCTCTATGTGGTCAAACAAGTTGTTACCTTGTAGGCTATTTTATCACCTAGTAATTCCCGTAAGAAAATGCAGTATTCAAAATTGGTGGCCCCCAAGCAGGCTTGAAAAATGCCTGTAATGAAGATGGTTATATCGGCGTTAACATCTCTTTTATGTGTCTGTTAAGCACTTAGCCCTCCTGAACACCCACAGAGGCGAGGAGAGGGAGCCAGACGCTCGTTTGGATGGCTCAGGGGTGATTCCCAACGTGTGCAAAGGGGAATTTCTCCAGGAATCACAGCGCCGGGCCGGGGGGGTGAGGGGCCGATGTTCTTCACCTTTACTTTAATTCAAATTCACACTCTCCCCCCGGCGGGTGGGCCTTTGTCTTCCCTCCAGGAGAGCGGAGGCTGCAGACCGCCTGGGAGGGCG